AATGACAAACCCTGTGTGATCTCACGTCTATGTGAGATCTAGGAGGAAAAAAAAAAAGAGCTCACAGCTACAGAGAACAGAGCGGTGGTCGCCAGAGGTGGTTTTGGGGGCATGCAGAATCGGGTGAAGGGGGTCAGGAAGTCCAAACTTTCAGTTATGAGATACATGGGTCCTGGGGATGTAACATACAGCCACAGGTGACAATGCGTGCTGTGTCTCAGTCATGTCTGACTCTTTTGCAACCCCATGGGCTATAGCCTGCCAGGCTCCTCTGTCCATGGGATTCTCCAGCAAGAATACTGGAGTGGGTAGCCATTCCCTTCTCCAGGGGATCTTCCCAACCCAGGGATCAAACCCATGTCTCTTGCATCTCCTACACTGGTAGGCAGATTCTTTACCACTGCGGCCCCTGGGAAGCCCACAGTTGACAACACTGTACCGTGTATTTCAGTCTCTGGCCATACCACCTGAACGCACCCGATCTCATCTGTACTGCATATCTGAAGGTTGCTGAGAGAGTTTAACTGTATGTGACTCAAATCGTTATGGTGTACACCTGAAACTAACACAAGGTTATATGTCAATTATACCTCAATAAACTGGAAAAAATCGTAATAAATGAACTGCCCGCGCCTGGCACCTTAGCATTCAGAGGTAGCTGTCATAATCACCACATTTCCTCATGTGCAGAACGAGATGGTGCAATGGTGAGAGTCAGGAGCAGTGTGTGGCCTGCCCAGCACCCACCATGAGCCATGGGGTGGGGCTTCGGCCCGAATCTCCCGAGCAAGCACCACACTCCACATGTCTGGCGCCGGCCTCCAGCCAGGCCCTGTAGCGAGCCACTCCTCAGCTCTGCTTCCTCTGCACAGGCAGGCAAGCGGCGGATGAGCCAGAGACGGGTGGGGCTGTGTTTCTCTTCGCCAGGGCCACCTTCTACTCCTCACTAATGGATAAGTCGTTCGGGGGAACAGGCAACAAAGAAACACGCAGTTTTTTGGCAAGTAATAGTTAATCATATCTACATCCTGAAGGAAACAGCATTGGAACAAAACAGTAACTTGATCCCAAAATAATATTCCACGTGGCTGGTTTCCCATTTCTCACCAGACACAGTGACCCCAGTGAAGGACCTCCACGTGAACCCCAGATGGAAGAGGAGCTGACAAAACACACACCTAATGATCCCATGGCAGACACACCCCCCCACGCATGGCACCCACGGAACAGCAGGCCCTCACCCGGGCTCCTGATCCCGGCGACGTCATCTTTGGCCGACACTGGTCAGCGCACAGCGCTCTCAGTGAGGAGAAGCCCGTCGGATCTATGTTAGCCACAGAGCAAGAGAGCCCAGAAAACCTGTACATGTTAAAATGGGGTGCAGACCACTTCCATTTCCTGCCCCGCTATACTCAGTCTGGGGTGGGGAGGACACCCAGGGCTGGCCCTGTGGGGAACCCCCACATCTGCAGGGCTGAAGTTGGCACAGAGCTCCCGGGGGCTCCCCAGAGACTGCTCTCCCCAGAGAACTTTCTGACTTCTTTTCAATGTGCTCATCCTTGGCACCTGGATCTGGGGAGAAGACTCACCTCTCGCCTCCTAGCTGAGCACCTACTGCCTGAAGGAAAGGCGTTCCCTCTTTCCACATCCCACATCTAAAGTACAGGAAAAACTCAGAAGAATGGTGAGTTTAAACATCGGAGTAGCGTCTGGAGTAGCATCTGGAGCCAGAGACTCATGCTGTGCTGGTGTGTGGCCCCCAGATGGACCAGCCGGCTCTAAACAGGCCCCCTCCTCCCCCAGGTGGGACTCTGACCAAAGAGATGCTGTTCGCTGTCAAGGGCACCACCTGGAACAGGATCCAGGGCCAAACCCCAACCCTGTCCCCACCAGACACGCGACCTTGACAGTCGCTCAGCCTTCCTATGCCTCGGTTTCATCAGTAAAATGGGAGTGTGACAAGGGCCACTGCTTGAAGTGTTGAAACAGCGTCTGATGTCCTGGGCCAGCAACCTTCATGCCAGCTGCTGCCACTCTTGTGGCTGCTGACAAAGCAGGCATGGTTCTGCTGTAATGACTGTCACGAGCTTAAATGCAAGTTATCACTCACCAAACCAGGTCTATAAACCAAACGTGGCAAAATCCATTAAACCCAAGAACGTTACAGTCTCCCAAGGCAGCAGAAACAGAAGCCAAAATACATAAATGGGACCTAATCAAATTTATAAGCTTTTGCACAGCAAAGGAGACCATAAACAAAACAAAAACACAACCTACACAATGGGAGAAAAATATTTACAAATGACGCAACTGACAAGGGCCTGATTTCCAAAATATACAGACAGCTCATACAACTCAACATCAAGAAAATAACCCAATCAAAACATGGGCAGAGAGTCTAAATAGAAATTTCTGCAAAGAAAACATGTGCTGTGTGCTGTGCTCACTCACTCAGCTGGGTCCAACTCTTCGAAAAGATACATGCAGGTTAATGTTCATCACAGCACTACTTACAACAGCTAAGACATAGGAGCAATCCAGATGTCCATCAACAGATAAATGGATAAAGAAGATGTGGTACATATATACAAGGGAATACTACTCAGCCATGAAAAAGAATGAAATAATGGCATTTGCAGTGACATGGATGGACCTGGAGATGATCATACTAAGTGAAGGCAGTCAGAGACAGATATCAGATGACATCACTTACATGTGGAATCTGAAATACGATACACATGAACTTATTTACAAAACGGAAATAGACTCACAGACACAGGAAAAAATACACGTGGCTACCAAAAGGGAAAAGGTGGGAAGGGATATATTAGGAATCTGGAATTAGCAGACAAAAACTACTATATGTAAAATACCCAAGGGCCTACTGTACAGCACAGGGAACTGTATATTCAATGTCGGTTGAATAAACCATAATGGAAAAGAATATGAAAAACAATAAATACATATGTATGTATAACTGAATCACTTTGCCGCACACTAGAAACTAACACGTTGTAAAGCAACTATAATTCAATAAATTAAAAAAAAAAAAAAACAAGACCATAAAGCCTTCGGCGTCTGCTCCTGCTGGGGATCTAGAGAGTGGCAGGTGAGCGAAGTTATACTGCGGTTCCTTTCGGTGCTCACAAGGAGGAAGAACTCCAGCCTCTGAAGACCACACATAACCTCTCCGAGTGATAAAAGGACACAATTCCTGCCTATAGCTGCACCCATTCCACACGGCATATCACTGGGTGACAAGTGAAAGGCTCTAGGCCTAAGAAGTGGCTCCCTGAACCAGCCAGGGCACTGGGACCCCCTGGGTCACCTTCACCTCTCAGAGGAGCCTGCTCAGGCCCAGGGCGCTGCTGTGGCCCCCATCACGCCCCCAGGTCCGGTGTAGACAGGGCGGACGCCCGACTGCAGGCCGAGGGAAGAGGAGGCCGTCTCTGGAGGGACGCCTACCAACCCATCACGGCAGGAAACGGTGGCAGGACCTGGAGGCCGCCTGCTGGGAGGGGGACCAGGGAGGGAGGGGGACCCGGGAGAGAAGGGCAGGTCATCGCCAAGCACTTCCAGCGACACAAGACGCCTCCGTCCCCTAAACAGAGCTCCCACCTCGGGCGCGCCGGGCCACACCTGAGCCAGGCAGAGAGCCGTCCGGCAGACCGGCCTGCATCTGCCTGCCGGACGTGGCGACCTGTCTGAAGGACCCCGTGCGTCCGGGGGTCAGCAGATGCACGCGCTTTGCTTCCCCTTCAGAAGCACGATGCTCACTGGACACTACACGTGACACTTTGGTTCCTGAGACGCGAACGTCACGCTAGAGACCACGTTGATGCTGCGACCCCCAGCACCCCACTGCATGTCTCCGGTCCTCCCGTGACACCAACGGGCGCTAGACGGATGGGAGGGCGGCTTGCTCAAATAAAGTATCTGAACGTCTAGGTTACTTCAACCTACTGCAAATTCGCTATCATTTTCCAACAAAGAACAGAACTCTGCATGCAGCTGTCTGCCTGCAGGTTGTAGTGACGTAGGCTATGTACATGCTAAAGGGTCCCAGAGACGGGAGGGTGAACCGGGGCTGGGCGGAAGCCCGTGGGGACGTGGCAGCACGCAGCGCACGTGCGCGCTGAGAGGCGTGGCTCCCAGACCCTGACCCTTCACCCTCCGGCTGTCTCACATGCACAGAGATAGTGAGAAAGAGGCAAGCCCGCCGCCCTCTGAGGGTGCGGGAGGGTGAGGATGCAGGTGGCCGCGCGCCCACCCCGCCCCGGCGGAGACCCTCAGGCTCGCCCCTCCCCCGCCCCTGGGTCAGCGCTCCGGGAGCAGCTGCGGTCCCAGCTCCCTTCTTGGCTCTGGACTGTAACAGCTGCTTATTACAGTCTCCATCTACCCACAGCATCACACCTTCTCTGTGAAGGCACTTCCCTGAGTCCACAGCTTGCAGACCATGCACCCATCCCTCTGTGGGCACCCAGACCCCCGGGACACTCACTTCACTGTAGCAGGCGGTCCTCGGACACCCAGACCCCGGGGGACACTCACTTCACTGTAGCAGGTGGTCCACGGGCACCCAGACCCCCGGGGACACTCACTCTCATTGTAGCAGGCAGTCCACAGGCACCCAGACCCCCGGGGACACTCACTCTTGTAGCAAGTGGTCCACCACCACCCAGACCCCTGGGGACACTCACTTCACTGTGGCAGGTGGTCTGCGGGCACCCAGACCCCTGGGGACACTCCCTTCACTGTAGCAGGTAGTCTGCGGGTACCCAGACCCCCGGGGACACTCACTTCACTGTAGCAGGTGGTCTGCGGGCACCCAGACCCCCGGGGACACTCCCTTCACTGTAGCAGGTGGTCTGCGGGCACCCAGACCCCCGGGGACACTCCCTTCACTGTAGCAGGTGGTCTGCGGGCACCCAGACCCCCGGGGACACTCACTTCACTGTAGCAGGTGGCCCGCGGGCACCCAGACCCCTGGGGATACTCACTCTTGTTGTAGCAGGTGGCCAGCACACCTTTGTCTGCGGGGCTGGCACTAATGTGCCAGATTTCCCCCGCCTGATGCAGGAGCACATTTTTATTGATAATGTTGTTCTCGTCGTCAAAGTCTATGACGTGGATCTACAGACACAAGGAAAGAACCAGTCAGAAGCTCACACACTTCCCATTTGCCTTCACAGGTCAGAGACTAATAGTTCCATGCTGCACTAACAGCGCTCACTTCTACACGCGCATCTCACTCTATGCCTCTCAAAAGACAAGTGGGAAATCCCTGCAAAGTATTAAGCCTGAAAGCACAGAACCTTGCCCCGTACGCCCAGTCCTCCAGACCAGACACCAAAGGCTCCGTCCCCCACCCCACACGTGGCGCAGTCAGGCCATGGCGGGTGTCAGGGCCAGAGTCTGCAGGAAGGGGCCGCCTGCCGTGACCAGCCCAGGCCTGCGGCTCGGCTAAGCGGGGCAGGGCGCTGCTGCCTGCCAAGGACCAGGCTTAGCCCCGATCGGCCCCCTCCGCAGTGGACACAACTCATGTTGGAAGCAGCCAAGGACGGAAGGGGTGAGAGAGTGCCGCACGTCAGGTCAGCCCCTCTTAAAACGCTTCCTAAAAACAAGGCTGGGACTTCCCTGGTGGTCCAGTGGCTAAGACTCAATGTTCCCAATGCAGGGGGACTGGGTTCAATCCCTGATCAGGGAACTAGATCCCACATGTTGCAACTAAGACCCTGTGCAGACAAAATAAATAAAAATAAATAGTCTTAAAAAAAAAAAAAAAAGGCCGACCGCCACCAACCCCTCTGATCATGTAGCAGTGACGACAGCATTGTGTTGCAGCCACTAAGTGAAAAGTTAAATATGCTAGTGCCACGCTCTTCCGGATAATTTCTAGGGGAATGAAAATGATGTTCACATTCACTCTCTTGTCATAATCAAGCTACTGGGGAAAATAAAATTTACAGTTTTTTAAATCAATTTATACTGATAATCATGGATCTGCACAAAGACCTATATCCAATCAGGAATGGTCGCTGTGGCACTGACCGTCACAATGAAGCATAGAAGCCACCTATTCGCCTGGCAACAGGGAACTGTTCAGGTCAATCGACTGTAATACAACAGTGTGAGGCCAGCCACTCTTCTCTGAACACTTTCCAGTGCCGGGAAAAGGGTCCATAACATATACAAGAGGGAAAGGGAGAGGGAAAGTCACTCAGTCGTGTCAGACTCTTTGTGATTCTCCAGGCAAGAATATCAGAGAGAAGCCTGTCCCTTCTCCAGGGGATCTTCCCGACCCAGGAATCAAACGAGGGTCTCCTGCACTGCAGGCGGATTCTTTACCAGCTGAGCCGCAGGGAAGCCCAAGAAGAGAGGGCTGGAGAGGGCAGCCTGTCCCTTCTCCAGGGGACAAAGGAGAAAAGAACCAGTAAAAGAACCGCACAAACGCTCCACACGCTTTTGGCCAAAAAGTAAGCACGCCCCAGTGAGAGAATCAGAAAGTGACTGGGTACCTTTGGGAGATGAAATTATAGAGGCTTTTCATTTACTTCTTTGTGGTTTGGTTTTATTTTTAAATTTTTTTCAAGCACTGTTTTGCAGTCAGAACAAACACTAAAATGCTAATTTAAAAAAACGTTTCCATGACACCCGAAGCACCTCCCCCTGCTGGCCCAGGGCCTCTGGCTCTGCCCTTGGCTGCTTCCCTTGTATCACGTTCTCACACGGAGTCACTCCGTCCCTCGAGGGCCGGCCTGGGCAGAACTCAAAGCCCACCACTGCCCCCTGCAGCCTGTGCGACCCGAGCCGTGTGTGCCGAGAGTGCTGGGACCACGCGGCCAGGCAGAAGCCACCCTTCTCCGGGGGCAGTGAGGAGATTAAACACCAGCAATACTGTTTTTAATCTTTGAAACGATTTTCGGTCAGTTTCTCCAGCACTCATGGCCCAGTGGAGTTTTCGCAGTGGGTTTGGAAATACTCCGGGTGGACATAAAGTTTATAACAGTCGGATGGGAACACAGACTAAACGGCAATACACAAACTTGGGAACCATTTCTGTGTTGTTAGAGTGAGCAAGAATCTTCTTTCTAAGTATCTGACACGTTTCCGCCTTACCAGACATCTGTGAGTGCTGAGAAAAGGAGGCGCTGAGCTGTCGTCCTTGGCCGGGAGCACCGTCAGGACAGCCACACGGGGAGCACGGGAGCGCTGGCTTCTGGGTCCTCCTTTGGGGCTGTGAACCGGGGGCGTGCACACCCTCCCCTGCACACAGGCGGCTCCTGGCTGGGGAGCCGTCCCTCCAGCCTGATCTCTCCCCGCACTTCCCGCTGCCGCAGAGTCCCCGCTCCTGCCTGGGGAAGGAGCCTCTTTCCTGTGAGGACGAGAAGGCAGGGAGTGCAGCCAGGCTCTGGTCCGTGGTCCACACGGGTCTTCCTCCAGCCCATTACGTAGGTGCTCAGCAGGTAAATGTCAGCCTTCGCCCTCCACGGCAGGGGTGGGGAGGAGTCCATCACCCCAGGTCCACCTCTCTTAATCTGACACTCTAATAACGTGCCCTTTAAGCTTCAGAGTCTAGGCTCTTTCCACACGTCCTCGCCCGCAGCAGGATCACAGACTGGTCCTCGGGACATGGCCTCGGGAGATGCTGTCATCAGGCACGCTCGGGCAGGGTGGGGGACACCAGCACCACCGACAAGCAGGGGTCAAAGGAATGGCGACTGATACACCGCAGACACTTGAGCTATTTGTACCACGCTGCCTCCTTTAATCCCGAAGAGAGCTCGATGATGACAGGATGATGTATCATTACTAGCCACGGTTACAGGGGAAGAAACCGGGGCTGACAAAGTTGGAGCAGCGTAGCTCGTTCCAGAGCGAGTGCCGTGAACCCCCCCGTGGGGGCACAGGAGGTGCCCACCCGCCACAACACGGGGCTCCGCACCACAGCAGGTCAGCAGAGGGCCAGGCAGCCCCGCATCCCGGGGGAGAGGCTGTGACCCAGGTGCCTGCGCTGCTCACGCCAAGTGCACACGCGCTGACACGTGCAGCTGCAGGCCAGTTACAGAAACAAGTTACGTCATGGAGAAAACACTACGGTTAGGGTGAGGGCAAAAGACGACGGGGACGCGGAGCGCGGAGCGATTCGTGTTGGCTGTGAGGGGGGACGTGGGTGCCCGGCCGGGCAGTGTGCAAGTGTTACTGGAGGTCTTCACACCGCTGCTGAGCTTCTAAAATGCTTTTAAATAGCTCAGAATGAAGCTCAACGGCTTCCCTGAATGCTCAGCTGGTAAAGAATCTGCCTGCAATGTGGAAGACCTGGGTTCAATCCCTGGGTTGGGAAGATCTGCTGGAGAAGAGAACGGCTACCCACTCAAGTATTCTGGCCTGGAGAATCCCATGGACTGTATAGTCCATGGGGTTGCAAAGAGTCCGACACAACTGAACGATTTTCACTTTCAATGAAGCTCAAACTCATATTTTGAATTACCATTATTAAAATTTTAAAGCTGGACTTAGCAGTGCAGGGCTAAGGGTGTAGACAACACTCTATAAGAGTTTAGGAGCCAGGGTGATCAAACTTACTAGGAAGCCTGTAAAGGTGCTCTTAATCAAGGCCGCTTGTGTTCTCACAAAATCAGGGCTCAGAGAAAACGGCCGCTGTCATGAGAGCAAGCACATGACCCCAGGCCGACACACTCTGTCCGTTTCATCTCTTACCGAACTCGGTAAACTCGAAAATTCAGAGGGAAAAAAAAATGTGGCAAAATTGGAAACTAAAAAGTGAAAGCTCCCCCCTAGGAAAAGTAAAGCCCCAGCATCTCCCCGTGATAAGTCCTCCTGGCACCAACGTCGGCCCTCCATGGGGCCGCTGGGTGAGAAGCTCCAGCTCAGCTGCCCCCAGCAGACGCCACGGCCTCCCCGCCGGCGCGCCCTGCCTCTCGTCCAGATCCAAAGCCAGCCATGCAGCCGGCAGCTCGGGGAGGCGACACCTCAGGCAGGCAGGCAGGCTCATGCTGCGGTGATTCCAGGTGCTGCGCCCCACGGCGCCTCGCAGTTCCCAACTGCAGGTCTGGGGCGGCCCCGCCCCAGCAGGGCTAGTGGGGGCCCTTCTGCAGCGGCGCCTGCTCACTCCCCGTCTCTGTCCCTTTCTGGGGACTCTCACATCTCCACCCTTCTGCCGGCCAGGAGATTCACCTTGTGAGGCTCCACCCTCACAGCCTCAGCGCCTTCCAGAGGGCCCCCTCCTGCCTCCATCACGTCGGGGTTGGCTCCCATGTGCAGGTTTGCGGGGGGACACAGCATTCAGCCCACAGTGAGGGGACACGTGGTCAAGGGCCAAGGAAAAGCTAGGGTGCGAGCTGGGTCAGGGGGACAGTCGGCCAGCTCACTCCTCGTGACCACACGTACAAGCTAGAAACACATGCAGAACTGCTTCAAAAAGGACACACAGGACGCGATCAACACGGCGAGACCAGAGCCTCCAGACCACAAAGAGGGGAGCGACTCCTGGGAGTGAGATGGGAGGACGGGGTGGGGTGGCAGGTGCACATGGGGTGGGTTCGAGGCGCAGCCCTGAAAGGGCTTCACGGAGACCCCACCGCGGTCAGCCTGGCACTCCTCAATGGGACGAGCATCGCGCAGGTGGCCTCTGCAGGGAAAGCCTGGTGCAGAAGCAAACAAACCACCATGCTGCAAAGCCCAGCTCCCACCCAGAGGAGCAGCTCCCCGGGAGAAGGCGCGCCCCCGAGAGGAGGCTCCAGGGCGGCCTGACCGGCTCTGAGCACAGGCAGGGCCCCGGACGACAATGCAGGCACAGAACACAGAGCGGCTTGTCAGGCACAGGGCGGCCCGCAACTGTGACAGCCCCGGAAACTGTCAGGGAAAAGAGCCGAGCTGAATTCAGCAGCACGGACTCCAGCGCCGGGCACTTCCCCGGGAATCGCCAGCTGCGGGGAGGCGCTGACAGCCTGAGGCGAAGCCCGGGGCCAGAGACCCCGCCAGCAGCCCCCCTTCCCAGGAAGGGCCCAGCCTGGGCGGGGGCGGGGCAGGGGGCTTCCAGGCGGGCTGGGGGTTGCGCAATGCCACGGCCGCTGCCACAGCTGCAGGGCAGGCGGGCTTGGCCCTGGGGCCGCCTGGACAGCAAACCTCAGCAGCTGAGCTTCACAGTCACGGCAGGCGTGGGGGGCGGGGAGACGGGGTGCTTAGCGGCCACCTCGCCACGTCCCAGCCGGGCCCTGGGAGGAACCACATGGCTGCTCAGGGCCAAGTCTTCTGTTTGGAGATGGGGCCAGGGCACCTGCCCACCCCACACACCCCCGGTACCTGTCCAGCCGCCAGTCCCCCCGTGTCCCCGGCCAGGGCCAGGTGTCACCGCCTCTCTCTCTCACCAGCTCATGGCTGCAGGCGGCTGCGAGTGCTCCCTGGAGGGGGATGCACACAGCACTCACGCGGGGACACACGCAACTCGCCAGGTGGAGGGGACACAGGGAGGCCCCCGGACGCCCTCGCTGTGGGAAGCAAGGCAGGACTGGGAAGGGGGCAGGGACAGTCAGGGAGGAGGGCGCGCCATCCTAAAACACAAGCGGTTCGACCCCTGGTTGGGGAACTCACATGCAGCCAGAAAAAATAAATAAAAACTGATGTTCTACCAGAAAGGTCAGTGGTACAGGCCCAGAAATGAGGGGCATTGAAAAGTAAGTAGATAAGCAAAAGACAGTTGGTCGTGCACTGGCTCGGTGCCCGAGCCCCAGCGCCCCCATCACACGCTGTGCTGGCCCTTCCAGAGGCACGTGTGTCCCCGCTGGCACTGGGCGCCTTCCTCCCCCCACACCCCCCAGCAGCACCCCAGGCTGCACGGGGCCACTCTCCTCTTGCCTGTGGGACGGCCACGGCTGACTCTTTTTATAAATAAAATCAGCCCCATCTGACATCTTCCAGGAGAGCAGCAACACATACACACACTCAGAAAACAGGAAATTATAAGGAAACAATTTACATCATATGCACATCCCCTGAAGATAACCATGGCTCACGTTTGGGCCCTTTTGACCTATTTCTAGTCTTTATTCTATGCAGAGATGCAATTTTGTACTTTATATACCTTTTTAATATAAAGGTGTAGTTGACAGAACATTATATTAGCTTCAGGTATACAGTGGAGTGATTTGATATTTGTATATATTGCAATTTTTTTTTACACACTAGTGGTCACGTACTACATACGATCTTAACATCTAAGAATCGCCTGAGAACTTTTCAGCTGTGAAGCTTCTGAGGAGACTCAGCTTTCATGCCTGCAGTGAATGAACACCATTCTGAAAGGAAGGCGATTCAGCCAGGGTAACCACATGGCTGCACCATCACAAACGGCATGTCATGCGTGGCTGCCTCCCGTTTTCTCCCATCCTCTGTACCATACCAATAATGCTCCTTGTATGTAAAGCTTTTTCGATGTTTTCGGTGTACGGAATATAGGTTAAATACTGTGAACATTTAGACTGTGCAAATCTCTAGACAGGTATCACGAAATGAGCTCCCAGTCACCAGGCCCACATGAAGTCGTGCGTCCGCATAGGAGCGGGGTTCACCACGCCCATCCGCACGGGGCAGGCCCGCAAGGCAATTGACGCCACCCCCGGGGGCGGGGTTCCGGAGGCGGGCTGGCCACTGTGGCACCAGCTCGCGCGCGCTCCCCCAGGGTCGGGCGGGTGAGTCTCTGCAACATCCGCACCTGCGTCCACGGCTCCGCCGCCACTGGAGGGCGAGGAAGATGAAGTCCAGCAAGGTTAGTCCATTCGTTCAAGGCCAGACATCTGAGGTCTGGCCGAGGCCAAGCTGAGAACCGCATCATTCTTCCTGCCCTAGAGACAAGCCACACCCTGTGTGTCTCTCCCAGGATCACCAGCGGTGACAGCCTGGACTCCAGGCTGAGAGGGGATTATGGCCTCGTCCAGCCTCAGCTAGAGAGTGCCGTGAGTCATCAAACCGGTCATTCAGTGGCCGGGGCCAAAGGGGTGACGCTGACCACGCACCCTCGTACCCTCAACCGCTTGCAAGGCGACCCCAGTGCACCCACCAAACACTACACTACGGCTGCAATGATACATAGAATGAGTTTAGATTCCTCTCGCCTAGTCATTACATACAGCTGGCTATGTAAGTCCCAATGAAAGCTCTGCTTTGTTTGGGTGGCATTAATTCTCAAATGCTACTTGAAAAATCAAGAACAAAATAGCTATAAAACTAAGAACAGGCTTGGTAATTAACATGTATACATTTGTCAGAAATAGTTACCTGATTATCATACTTGAGAGACTGCGTCCCAACCAAAAACCGAATGGCATCTGTCTCCGCGGTCTGAGGCGTGAGGGCCCGCGCCTGCAGGGGAAGGAGAAAGCACACGTGGGTGGACGCAGAGGACAGACCACGCGGGCAGCCGCCGCCTGCACCGCCCTGGGGGACCCCCGGGGGGCAGAGGGTCCGCCAAAGCTTAGAAACGTGCAGGAGGAGCCCTCGACTCTTGTACGACCTGTAACCCAACTGCGCTTCCGAAGGATCTGGAAACAACTGTCACTGGAAACAAAAATTAAACAGTAAAGATATATAATTTTGTCTTTAACAAAATTATTTACATCATTGACTTGTTTCAACAAATTATTCTTAATAACAGAACAGAAGATGGCTCCCACTGAGGGCAGAGCAGGTGGTTTGAGGCACATCTCCTGCAGAGCCAACTGGAAAAACTCAACCCAAAACCCTGAGCTTGTTTCAAGGCTTCAGGAAGCTGTTCACTGTCCCTGTGTCTGATCGTGGGTTCTGGCCCTGCCGTGGCCCTGCCGCCTGGCGGCATGAAGCTGGACCTTGCAGTTCATGGTCCAGGAGAGGAAGAAGCTGGGGGGGACGGGGGGGGTGCTGACCGCCTGCCCATGGTCACCTGGGCTAAAGGCTTCGCCCCTCGCTCCTCAGACTTCTGGAAGTCCTGCAAGGGCAGGAAGGGCCCTGAAGAGCAGAAACCAACTGTCTTCAGTGAAACGTGGAGACGTCTATAGTCCAAAAGTGCCCGGCAAACACCGTCTCCAAGGTGGGGAAGGTCAGCGCTGAGAGAAGATGCTGAGGAAGACGCTGGTGGCCATGCCCCAAGCAAAGCAGGACCGTGGCCGGGGAACCGCCAGAGGGGCCAGCCAGAACAGGGGTCCCCCACACACCGGGGCGCCAACTAGAGCAGGGCAGGGGACCTACTGGCATCTCAGGAGGCGGCTGGAGCTCCGTGGGGCAGAGCGGGGGGCTGCCCTGGGGGCCCCTGGGAGAAACGAGCGTTGCAAAACCCAGAGTCGCGAGCACTTGTCGGCCTGAGCCAGACCGGGCTGCCTCCGCCTACAGAGCCCACGGCACGGGAGCTCAGCAAGGAGGGCCAGAGGGAGGACCGGAGGGAGGACCAGAGGGGAGACCGGAGCTCCGCAAGGAGGACCAGAGGGAGGGCTGGAGGGGAGACAAGGGGAAAGGCTTCAGCAGGTGCAAACGCCAGGTGGCAGGGCTACGGCAGGGCCACAGCCCATGATCAGACACAGGGACACTCACAAAACTCGACAGCAAACACCTCCTCAAACAAGAAGGAGAAGAACAGACTGGAGAGGCTCGGCAAGACCACCCAGACAACTGAACCTGAGCCAACATGACGGGCGGAACCGTGAACCAGACCCCACGCCACGCGCAAGGACAGAAACCCCGAATAGGGAACACACGCAACCTCTGAAGATGCAGCAGGTCTATGAAATGGAACAGCAAGACGGCCCTGAGCTTCAGTTCATCAGGTTAAAAGGCAGTGTCCCTGTGCACTGGTTTGGAAGCAGCAGATCCACTGACCGATTGACGACAATTACTGTTAAGTCCTATAAAATCAGCCTACAAAACGGGGGGTGAGGGCGCCTGACCACAGCCATCTTCGGCAGCTGCTCTTCACTGTGGTGACAGAAATGCAAGAACTTAGGCACCGGCTCAGAAGCATGCAGGACAAGGGGGTGGAAACTCCGGGGAGAGAAACCTGTGCCCTGAGCACTGCTAGTGAGCAAGGCATTAACTAGGGAAGCCAGGACACACACAAGCACTGAACCTAAAACTCACCCTGCTTCCAAGCAGAAGTCCTGAAATGCTGGCTAAACGTGGCAGAGAACCCTACTTGAATCAGCAGTCAACAAAACATTGTGCAATTAAAAAAAGGGGAAACCTGAGTAAAGATTTGGCAAAAGACTGTGATCAACTGTTGAGAGTCCGACGGGAGACAGGAGAGCAGGGAAAAAGCTGAAAATCCTCAGGTGCCACAGTGTCCAGTCACCAGGTCATGTCCGGGAGGGAAGAGCAGGTCAAGACTAGAAGAAACAGCTTCTGAAACGTTGAGAGAGGTTATTCTCACCAGATAAGGTGGAAAGGAAATGTGTGGGGTCTGGTAATTTTAACCAGACTTGCAGTAACTGACTTAAATGACTTGAAAGCACTGAGTGTTTAAAATTTTTTAAACACACAAAAAAGAACAAAAACCATGAACACAAGTCAAAGCGCTGCAGAAAGGCGAATGCGCTCAGCACTCTCTCATCTCACAGCCGCCCACACTGCTCTTCTGCCTCTTACCGGCACCGCGGTGCCTCATCTTACCCTCAGACCTCATCACCTTCAGCCAGCGGTCAACATCTTGCTGCACCATCCTGCCGCTTCCACCAGTTGTCTCCCTGTCCACACTGCTTGCTGAACAGGGCAGGCAGGCGCGAGCGGGGAAGCAGGAGAACCCTCGAGGGGCCGTGGGAGCTGCAAACACGTTTATTCTCCCGACTGGGGCCACAGCCGTAGTAGCGCACACGCTGCATTCCCTCCTCTCGGGGCTGACCCGGTGGACACAGACCCAACGCAGCTTCAGGGGCTTTTCAGTGGAGCTTATATACGCTTACAGACAGACGTGGCCAAAGACAGAGTGGCGTGATGCACACGCACAGCGCTGTGCGTGATCCCAGCTGTTACAGAACCACATTTACAGATTGCGGGGCAAGAGTGAGAGGCCGTGGGCCAAAAGGGTCTGGCCACCACCCTCTTGGCCAATCTGCTCCTTCCCCACATTCTACCCCCTCAGGGTCTCTCAGCTCACAATCTGCACACAGTTCATTTTCGTGATGCTTCCTTGGTGAATAACGCTGACCCGTGAATGGACATTCTGCAACAGCAGTAGATGCTACAGCAAACAGTTACATCCCCAGTACACAGCACGCTCAATGCCAGGTGTCATCTGGAACTCACATTGCAGTCCTTGCTCTCATGGGGCTAGAAGGGCCACCCACCACACGTGGAGTGACTTTATCTCCATGGCCAAGTCCACTCCGCCGGCTGTCCTTGTGAGATGGCAGGAAAGCCTCCACAGGTTTTATTGCTGCTGCTAAGTCACTTCAATCGTGTCCGACTCTGTGTGACCCCATAGACGGCAGCCCACCAGGCTCTGCCGTCCCTGGGATTCTCCAGGCAAGAACACTGGAGTGGGTTGCCATTTCCTTCTCCAATGCATGAAAGTGAAAAGTGAAAGTGAAGTCGCTAGTTGTGTCCGACTCTTAGTGACTGCATGGACTGCAGTCCACCAGGCTCCTCCATCCATGGGATTTTCTAGGCAAGAATACTGGAGCGGGTTGCCATTGCCTTCTCCGACAGGTTTTATTAAGGACCTTCAAACCCGCCACAGGCGCTGGGCCCTCCCCTTCAAAGAGGGAATCTGTGGCATTCACAGCCCACATACATTATTCCAAATGCTTTCAAACTGTCCTAAATCTGCCAGAGAATTCAGAGGTTAGTAGCACATCACAGACAGTCTTTCCACTACACTGTCCTAAACCTCCATCACAGTCTTTCCACTACACCGCCCTAAACCTACACCACACACAGTCTTTCCACTACACCGCCCTAAACCTACACCACACAGTCTTTCCACTACACTGTCCTAAACCTCCACCACAGACAGTCTTTCCACTACACCGTCCTAAACCTCCACCACAGACAGTCTTTCCACTACACCGTCCTAAACCTACACCACACAGTCTTTCCACTACACCGTCCTAAACCTCCACCACACACAGTCTTTCCACTACACTGCCCTAAACCTCCACCACAGACAGTCTTTCCACTACACTGCCCTAAACCTCCACCACACAGTCTTTCCACTACACTGCCCTAAACCTCCACCACAGACAGTCTTTCCACTACACTGCCCTAAACCTCCACCACAGACAGACTTTCCACTACACCGTCCTAAACCTCCACCACAGACAGTCTTTCCACTACACCGTCCTAAACCTCCACCAGAGACAGTCTTTCCACTACACTGCCGTAAACCTACACCACACACAGTCTTTCCACTACACTGCCCTAAACCTCCACCACAGACAGTCTTTCCACTACACTGTCCTAAACCTACACCACACACAGTCTTTCCACTACACCGCCCTAAACCTACACCACAGACAGTCTTTCCACTACACCGTCCTAAACCTACACCACACACAGTCTTTCCACTACACCGTCCTAAACCTCCACCACAGTCTTTCCACTACACTGTCCTAAACCTACACCACACACAGTCTTTCCACTACACCGCCCTAAACCTCCACCACAGACAGTCTTTCCACTACACCGTCCTAAACCTCCACCACACACAGTCTTTCCACTACACCGTCCTAAACCTCCACCACAGACAGTCTTTCCACTACACCGTCCTAAACCTCCACCACAGACAGTCTTTCCACTACACCGTCCTAAACCTCCACCACAGACAGTCTTTCCACTACACCGCCCTAAACCTCCACCACAGACAGTCTTTCCACTACACCGTCCTAAACCTACACCACAGACAGTCTTTCCACTACACTGCCCTAAACCTACACCACAGCACACAGCCTTTACTGAGTGCCTCCACACAGGGAGAGATCCGATTTCCAAAGGTAAGGACACAGCCTTTACCGTACAGCTCTGCACGGGGAGCCATCCAATTTAAGGACACAGCCTTTAAGGGCATCAGACGAAAGGTCTGCAGACGCCATGTAGTCTTCTAACTGAACTGCCCGTATCTTTTGCTGTAGCCCTTCCCAAACCAAGTAAACTGCTGCTCTGGTCTCAGCTGTCTCCATCGCTCTAGGAGCAGAGCAGTGGTCCCTTTATCAGTTTCATTTCTGTCAACTCCCGCTGCCAGCAAATCAGCCCAGATTTGCATCCACTTTGCCTGCTGCCATCCCTAGACCTTCCCAAGCCTGCCGCCCATCGAGGGAGCAGTTAAGGAGCAGGAAGAGGTGGACGGGGCGTCGTTTGGAACAGCACCCCGCGTGCTGCCTTCACAACGCCCGCAGTCCTCTGGAGGCTCCTCTGCCTGCCGGGCCAGAGCAGAAGCTTGAGGGCGTGGTGTGGCTGACCCCGAGCGCTGCTCTCCCCATCATCACCCAGGCCCTCCGTGTACTGTCTGCGCGTCACCCACCCCCGAGCGTCCCCTCTGGCTGTCTGCAGGCCCAAGGGACCCTCGGGGCTCCGCAGGCGTGGGTTCAGCAGGCGCTGACCCAACTCTAAACTCTCCACTGCGGCTGCACTCTCTCTTTTTCTCCGCTGGGGCTGGTCCTGAGTCTGGCTGTTCACCCTGCTGACGACCTCTGCTGTTCCACCACTTCTCGCTATGCACACTGTTCACTGAACCCAGGGCAGGCACAGCACCAGCGGGGAGCCTGCAGAAAAACTCAAGGAGCCCTAAGAACTGCCGACATGCTGATTCCCTCCTGACTGGCGCAGCAGCAGAAACGCTGTGTTCCCTCTGGGCTGACCCAGCGGACACAGTCATAAGGCAGTCTCAGGGGCTTTTTGGGTGAAGCTTATACATGCTTACAGAACAGACATGGCGGTGGCCACATGGGGACACTGAGATGCACAGAGCTTTAAGTTATCTCTACTGTTACAGAACCACGTAGTTACAAAACATGGGGCGAGAGAGCCTGACCACCACCATCTTAGCTAACTTTCTTTCCCCACATGCAGTAATTGCTCTCCAGATTCAAGAAAGCCAGGGCCCAAAGAGCTGTGTAAAGAAGTGTGACAATCAGCTACTTCTTTTAAGATAAGAAAAGATATTCAGATAAAATATTTGAGGCCCAAGGCAACAATCCACTCCACTGATTTGTCCAAATTTATAACATTTTAGTTACCTCAAAGATCCAATACTGAAGATCAAAACCTCTGTGTTATTTGGGGGATTACTTAAAGAGATCAAAAAGTTATTAAGAAGCATTGGAAGAAGATGCACACTTTAGGGAGCACAAGGTCAGGGAAGCTTCTCTCTTCCGCAGGTGCCCTCTGGATGTACCCACGTGTGCACCTTGGGGTTGAGGAGAAGGCAGTTTCACTTGCTGGTTACGGGGCTCTGAAATTGGTTTGGGTTTAAAGCCCACCTAGGCCAGAATCCCCATCACTTACTAGTTAAGAAGAGTCCAACCACAGGAAAAATAACATCTAACAATATGACTGATGTGAGAATTAAACAAAATATACGTACAATGTTAAGCAGAGTGCCCAAGACACAGCGCCGTTCTCAACTGGTCTCTAAGGCCCCAGTCTTGAGTGACACAGCACGTGTGTGAAAGTCGCTCAGTCGTGTCCGACTCTTTGCAACCCTGTGGACTGGAGCCCACCAGCTCCTCTGTCAATGGGATTCTCCAGGTACGAATACTGGAGCGGGTTGCCATGCCCTTCTCCAGTGGATCTTTCTGATCCCAGGGATCGAACCCCAGGTCTCCCACATTGCAGGCAGATTCTTTTGCCATCTGCGCCACCAGGGAAGAGTAACAGGATGGTTTCAGAGCTAATTTCGAAGCTTTGGTCACTGTGCCAGGGCCACAGGAAGATGCCAACATTAGGGGAAACTCGGTGAAGGGGACGTAGGAACTCCCCCTGCATCTTGGCAACTTTTAGTGTACATTTAAACACTGTGTCCAAGTTAAAACAGTAATAGTAATACAGATAGAGCGCCTGCCTCCAAGAACAGCAAGGCTCTCGGAATTGTACACAAGCAAGTACAGCAAAGCGAGCCGTGAGAGTCAGGCCACAAGGAACGCCGGGGGCGGCAGGCAGGCGGCGGGGGCTCCCACGGCCGGGGGTCGCGGGCCCTCGGCCGTTCCTGGATGACCGCGGCCTTTGGCCCCCCGAGGCCTCTCCGCAGCGACCTCGGCGGCACCGGGCGCCGCGGGGCCGTTCCGGGACCCACCTGGAACTCCAGGCCGTAGATTACGGGCGCGTCGTCCTCCATGCTGCGGCAGCGCCCTCGCTGAAGGCGGGTCCCCTGAGCCGGCGCGCCCCAGCTCCGCTCCCATTCATGCGCTCCAGCCCCGGCGGCGCCTTTCTGAGCCACCGCGGCTCCCGTAGGGTTCGCTTCCTGTGTTTTCCGGACGCGTCATTAACGCGCTCCCCGTCGGCGGCTGCCGACGAAAGCAGCGCCGAGATCCTGCGCATGCGCACTTGGCTCCATCCGGGCTCTCCGCGGCTGGTAGGACCGGAAGGGGAGGGCCTGGTGGGCGCGCCTGCCGGGCGGGCTGGGCGTGCGGGACTCGCACTTAGCGGGCGCCGGGCGGCCTGCAGGTGGGAGCCTCCCCCGGTCTGCCGCCCTACGGTCCCCCTAGGGCTCTGACGCGGTCGTGGGACGGCCTGGCGCCGGGAAGCGCTGTGCAGGCGCTGTCAAGTCCTCTGCGGCCCACCAGCCAAGGCGGCACCTCAGGCTTTACAGACGACCGCTGCTCGTTTCGGGGACCTTGAGGGCACAGAGGTGTTCGGTGGAGGGCTCGGGGATGCGCTTGGGCTGGCAGACACGGGTGGGCTGGGCCCAGGAGCCTCAGGGTGAGAGGCCGGGCTCGCTCATGTCTGCAGGCGCCCGGCCTTGTTACGTGGCGCGGCCAAGGGGTCGCACTGCCAGTGCTGGGGTGGTAAGTGACGCCTGACATTTACTTGCCTCTGAAGGGGGTCCGGTGGACAGACTGTGGCGTCTTTGGGCCTCCAAGGACTGCCAACGCTGCAGAGGTTTGCCTCCGTCCAGGAGTCCGCCAAAGCGCGTGCCTTGACGTTTGGCAGTGCCTTTGGCAGACCCTGATGCTGGGAGGGGTTGGGGGCAGGAGGAGAAGGGGACGACCGAGGATGAGATGGCTGGATGGCATCACCGACTCGATGGGCATGAGTTTGAGTAAACTCCGGGAGTTGGTGATGGACAGGGAGGCTTGGCGTGCTGCGATTCATGGGGTCGCAAAGAGTCGGACACTACTGAGCGACTGAACTGAACTGAACTTGGCAGACAGGAGTAACATTGCATATAACCCCAGAATGCCATATGCACATTCTTCAGCACCCTGGTTCCATAGGTTCTAGGGCCATGCACAGTTTCTCCACCAATGTGACCATTTCACTTTCTTCTCATCACTTCTTAATCTTTGTTTCAGGTAAGGTCTGGGATAGGTATATGAAAAGATGCTCAGGCTTACTAACCATCAGGGAAGTGTAAGTCAACTACAGTGAGCCACCACCTCACATGATTAAAGTGGCCATCATCAAAAAGTTAAAGGATAAGCAGCACTGGCAGGATTGGAGAAAAGGGAATCTTTGTACCCTGTTGGTGACAATGTAGGATGATATATCAACTATGGAAAACAGTATGGGAGGTCCTCCAAAAATTGAAAATGGACTGCCATTATGATCCTGAAATCCCACTTCTGTGATCCAACCTAAATGAACTATCTTGAAACAATACCTGCACTCCATGTTCCCTGCAGGATTAGTTGCAGTAGCCAAGATAACGGAAACAACCAAAGTGTCCATCCACAGCTGGATGGAAAAGGAGAATGTGTGTGTGTGTGCGTGTGCGCACCAACCAAGGGAGCATTATCCAGTTATCATAGAGGCCAATACTGTGACATCAGCTTTTGAGGAAAGAATGAGTTTTATTGTGAGGTTGACCAGCAAGGAAACGGGAGACAGGTCTCAGATCTGTCTCCCGTCAGGGTGAAATTTAAGGGGTTAGGGGAATTTCAAACTTGGGAACTGATTCTCTAGTATCAAGTCAGTCTGCTGGAAGCCAGATTTTCCTTACTGAAAGAGTTCTTGCCTCGTAAAAGGTGCCAGTGACATTTCTGTTAGTTTTCATTTGAAAGTCATTGTGGAGACATGGGTTCCCCTTTTGTATCTCTGTAGTGCTATTGGAGAAGGCAATGCACCCCACTCCAGCACTCTTGCCTGGAAAATCCCATGGACGGAGGAGCCTGGTGGGCGGCAGTCCATGGGGTAGCGAGGAGTCGGGCACGACTGAGCGACTTCACTTTCACGTTTCACTTTCATGAGCTGGAGCAGGAAATGGCAGCCCGCTCCAGTGTTCCTGCCTGGAGAACCCCAGGGACGGCAGAGCCTGGTGGGCTGCCGTCTGCGGGGTCGCACAGAGTCGGACACGACTGAAGCGACTTAGCAGCAGCAGCAGCTTTGTCTGTAAAGTAACTCAAGATTTGGTTAATCAATCATTCTATTTAAGGAGGAAAACTATTTTAAGTTGGCCAATTTTTTTTACATGCTTTTTCATATATATATAATGGAATGTTATTTAGCCTGTAAAAAGGAAGACATTTTTAAAAATTTAAATAAAATTTAGAAAAGAATGGGGCCTTATCATTTGTGACATAAATGAACCTAGAAGACATTGTTCTAAGTGAAATAAGCCAGATACAGAATAACAAACACAGCATGCTTCCATTTACAGGTGGAATCTAAAACAGTTGAAATCGTGAAAGAGAGCAGAACGGCGGTTGTCAGAGGCTGGGGGTTGGGAGAAAGGGAAGCTATTGACCTAATGACACAAACTCTCAAGGATAAGATGATAAGTTCTGGAGACATAGTTGATAATAACGTGTCCTGTACTTGAGATTTGCAGGGAACAGATTTTAAATATTTTCACCACAAACAAAAAATGAGTGAGGTGATGGATAAGACCATTAAGTCCATTGTGGCCATCTCACAATGTTTAGATATATCAGCACGTCACGCTGTTCACCTTAAATACAAACGATTTTTATTTGTCAAAATAAAATATTTTAAATCATTAGAGAATAAGAAGGAAATGGCTGCGTGTGGCCTGGCTCAGCTGTGCTGAGCTGTGCTGTGCTGGCTCCAACGCCTGGCGCCCAGCCTGACACTTAGGCTGGGTGATGAACCGGGGTATCTCCAAGGTGACAGCGGAAGTCAAGAAAGCAGAAGCACAGACGCGGGCATCCTCTTCGGCAGCTCCGCTTGCCTGAGATTGAGTTGTGGCGCTAAGGCATTCAGGATCTTCATGCTGCTGGATCAATTCCCCCCGGCTATCATTGGTATTATTATTATCACCATTTTTATCCTTAATGTGATTACACAAGTAGTACAGATGGATGTATTCTCAACAAGAAAAGTTGAAAACACATACAGGCACAAAGGCACAGCCCTGGAAATAAGTATTTCAAGGATGCACTGCCCGCGAACTTAAAAAAAGTTTAGCCATTTCCCTCCCAGCTGCCTTCTGCCACAGGTTTAGCGACGTCCCTCTGGATAGCCGGGACGCTCTGCCCCGCCCCACCCAGCCCCCTCGCTCCCTCCCCCAGGCCCCGCCCGCCACGGCCGGAACCGGAACCGCGGCGGCCTTCGGCTCCCGCACCGGGCATGCGCGGGAGAGGGCGCGCGCAGGCGCAGGCGCCGCGGGAGGCGCCGAGTCAGCTCCTGGCTTCCCGGCTTCCTCCAGCTTCTCCCGGACCCCGGTCACAGCCGCAGGTGACCCTTCCCCCAACCCCGGGGGGCTGGGGGGCGGGTGAGGACAGGGCCCGGGCTGTGAAGAGGGGCCTCGTGCCGTCTCAAGCTTCAGCCCCTGAGGTGGGAGGGTCTCCTCCCGGGCCTCTCCTCCCCGGAGGTCTCTCCCCCCGGGTCTCCGCTGCTCCTTCTCCTCCCCTCGCCCTTGGTCTCTCCTCCCCGGAGGTCTCTCCCCCGGTCTCCGCTGCTCCTTCTCCTCCCCTCGCCCTTGGTCTCTCCTCCCCGGAGGTCTCTCCCCCCGGGTCTCCGCTGCTCCTTCGTCTCTCCTGCCTTAGGTCTCTCCTGCCCGGGATTCTCTCCTCCCCGGGGACTCGTCTCTGCCCCGCCACCCTCCGGGCCCAGGATGGCCCTGAGGGTCCGGAGCGCGAGCCTTGGGTGCGTGCCCTTTGCAGGGGCGGCCGTTGGCTCCTCACCGCTGGAGCGGCCCCCACACTGGGCGCCGAAAGCTCGGGAGGGTCTGCGCCCTGGGGCCCCGCTGTCGCACTGTGACTCGTTCCTCCTGGCCTCCTCTTCTGTAGATGAACTGTTCACAGTAACCCGCCCAAGCGGACTCATTGTGGGGACAAAACGCGATGGTCTGTGTAAAGGCCTCTCAGTCTCTATGTAAAAGCTGGCTGACGCTTTCCAGAGCATCACGCAGGACAGAGCTGACTGGAGTATCGATACTGGGCGGACTTGAAAACATGTAGAGCATAAGGCTCAAGAAAGTTCTCTCTATATGCCTGTTTTTCTCACCTAGTCCACAAGAGTTTAACCCCAGTGAAGCATTTCCTTGGACTTGCATTTCACACCTTCTTATGGCTACTGGAAACATCATATTTAAATACCTGTTTCTTTTTGCAAATTCAGGAGGCTGTGCTGTGTGGCAGTGAGGTCAGCTCTGTGTAATGGGCTGGGGGGAAGGACAGACGGTTGCAAATAAAGCAATACAGTCATGAGTCCTCACGGTCTACGATCCCTAACAGGATCTTCACTGTTCCTGGACAGCGTGTCACCACTCTGCTGCATCATTAAAATGGTAGTTACTAGTTCCTGTGCGTCCGTCACTGTTTAATCTTCATGATCCCAATCTTCAGAGGAGGAAGCAGAGACTAAAGGATTAAGTCATTTTCAGAGGTCACTTCACTTGGTAGTAAGGCCAAGCCTCAAGCAGTCGTTCCAAGCTCTCCCTGCCTTACCCTCTGCTCTCAATCTTGACCTGTCTCAGCAGCAGTACCAGGACAGCAGAGGCAGAAAAACCTGTGTAGGAATCTCCTCCGTATCCATTGACAACATCAGGCAAATCACTTGACCCCTGCTTTGTGACGGAGCTTATGCTTTGTAAGTTGGTCCTAAAGGCTTAAATATGATAATACATGTAAAATGCTTGATCTGTGGTAAGTGTTCTCTCCATGGGAGCCTTTCCAATTGTATACTAATTCGATTCCTACCTCTTGGCACAGTTCT